ATTGGCGAGCCAGGCATCTGGCAGGACACTGCTAGGCAAGAAATTCTAACAGCGATGGAGCGGGGCCCCGCGCCCATCTCCACATCGAAAGCGTTTGCCGGAAGTGAGGCGTCCTGCATCGCGCAACCTGCTCTCGGGCCAACATGCCCCAGCGACATCTGCAGTGAGTGGGGCGGCGCCGTTGTAGTCGCCGTCGTCTCGCATCTCCTCGTGCTCTGCCCTGCCGACTGCGGGGTCAGCGGCTGGCGCGGGGCCTCGACCGCAGAAGTGCTGGCTGGCGCTGGCCCGCGCGAAGGCAGAGAAACGAGCGCACTTGGGGAATGACGCAATGGCGAAAAACGGCGTCGGTCATTCGTGCGCTGCCTTCGACGAGACAATCGCCCACGCGGCGAGTTTGCCAGCCTCAATCTAACACAGGTGCGCACAACGCTGCAATGAGGCGACGAACGAGGCGCCAACGATCAGAGGGCGCTGCGTTCCGAGCACATCGCGCAAGGCCTCCCAGACTCCCCGCGTTCTCGCCCATGGGCCTTCAGAAAGGAGAGTCGAACTTTCAGGGGCCGGGGTGATGAGTTCAACTCGAAGACGATATGCCGGGTCATCTTCGGCGCCCTGCACAGCCCTGAAAACACTAGTGGCGCGCGTCCCCGCGGACCAGTATCCAGAACGGGCGGCCGCGGGTCGCCCGCGCTGCTGACCCGCCCCCGCTGGGGGAGAACAAGAAAAACCCAAGACAAGATGTCCCGGATATCCAACCGCCAAGACTCCGGGTTTGAAAACCTCCCGAGAAGCGCCGCGCGACGCGGGCCGGCGCGTGCACTTGCGACCCGAAAAAACAAGTGCAAACCGTTGAATTTTCCCGGTAGTTCTCCTCGTGGGCTGTCGTGACCGATCCAAGGCCCCTCGCGCGCGATGTAGACTTGAGCTCATCCTACAGGGGCCGCTGCAGCTCCACAGACAAGGCCACGACCGAGGACGTGGCGCTGACAGTGCGTCCAGGATCGCAAATATCACTTTGAAGCTCAGCGGCGGCCCGCGGCAAATAATGGCACATGTAGGCAGTCGCGCCTTGCAGATGCTGGATGGTGTCATCCACGTGGGACCTGAAAGGCGAGCGAACGCGCGGGTTGCCTCCAGGGCCTCGAGGGGGCGGATGATGAGCTGATGGGCCGCGCGCCAGCATCGCTGGACCCAGGGCGCGTTCTTGCTGCGACCCGCCAACGCGGGCTCCCCAGAGGCCGGCGCCTGCGAGAGACTTCCAGAAACCTACGAGAGCCCTGGAGCGGCGTGGCCGAGGAGCCCCAAATACAGCCGGTTACCAGGACATTCTTGGCCCGAGGCGAAGTTCAGGAGATTGCAGGGGCTAGCCGAGTCGAAGAACTTCGAGAGGTCCCAATGCAAGGCGCGCGAGCGACGGCCAAGCGCACGGGCCACCTCGCGGGCCAGCTCCCGACGCAAGTCGGCCTTCAGGGCCGGCGCCCCCTTCACCGCGGAGCCCCAGAAGTCCAGGTGGGCCTTGCTCCACTCGTCGATGTCGAGACCTCGGGCATTGCAATGGAATCGCGCGCCCATCGTATGAGGGCGATGGCAGCGTCGCCATAAGACGCGCGTGCCACTGCGGGGGAAAGCTCAACATCTTCTCGGCCGCATTCAGGATGCCTGCGAACGTCTCGAGAGAATCGGCAGGCGCAGCGAGCAGGGCTCGACGCGGCCGCGCGTCGAGCCCGCAAGCGCGGTTGCCTTGGGACAAATGCGCGCGTGGGCAACGCCCAGGGCCTGCAGCGTGGGCAGCTCCTCCAAAGCGACTCAGACTGCTGAGGAGCAGGGGTCCACAGCGACTTCCATTGTCTTGGGCATTGACGGTGCCTCCAGGGGTCTCGAAATACTTAATCCAAGCCTTCTCCTTCGCCTTAAGACAGCGATGAACAGGGCTTGCGCCGCGCGGGAGAGAGACCCGCAGCCGCGTGCGCGCGCTGCGCTTGGTCTATGCGTGAGCCAGGGCCCAGGATTTAGGGCGAACCTCTCCAGCAACGTCGACCATGTTCTTCACTGTATCAGTGCTCCGGGGGGGTGCCAAGCGCGCACTTCCAGCTCTCAGCAACTGGTGGGCTCTAGAGAGGCTCAACGTTCGAGAATACGTCGGAGACGCGGCCCGGCGAGACAACGCGACGCGGCCGAGCAGCATCAGCAGAAGGGGGCTGCCGAATGCGATTCCACGACTCGGGGGCCCTGCTCGAGACAAGGGGCCCATCGGACAAGCCGGGATTCCGAAGACTCTACGCCTGCGCGCTGCAAGTCGCCGAGGGCAAATCCTCTCGTCAACATGCCACCTTAATCGGGGTATCGATGATAAACAGAAACTGCGGCGCTGGCGCGAGAAAGGGCGCAACGCCCCATGGCGCGTGACCAGGTGAGATACTGCGCCCCCGAACTCCCGGACAGCCATTCCTTCGCGTGCTCGGGCATGGCACCATGCGGATCGTCGGGCACTTCCAGGGGGGCCTCGAAGGACTGCGGGGCAGCGGCGGCCGCGTCGGTGAGCAGGTGGTTGTCGGCCCGAGGGCCTCGGAGATCTCGAGGGGCTTCGCGAGCGGGCGCTGGGGCTTCACCGCGGCCCCGCGGCCGGGCGCCACATCGGGGCGCGCGTGCGCCTTGAAGGGGGGCAGGAGGTCGGCGGGCGCCGCAGGGCGCGGGCAGAGCAACCTCGAGCAGCAGCTTATACTCGATCATGGCCTCGCCATTTCAGCATGTGAACTGCGCGATTTTGAAGCGATCGCCCTGGCAGACATCAGTTCAAGGACCCCAGCGCCCCCCAGGAAATCAACCGACATGTTGGTCTCCCCCATCAGAAACCAAGGGGCCGACAGACACCGAACGAACTGAGCCACTCCGCGAAGCCGAGGTGAGTTCCCCTCAGAAGCTCCAATCGAAGGGATAAGGTATATCACTCCGATTGCAACAGTGCGCGCTTTCCAGCAAAAAACTGAACAACAACAAAATAAAGAACCGGCGTTGTCCAGAACCGACTTCAACGGTGCCTCTGGCTTAACTCAAACATATCCCGAAAGGACGGACGAGGATGAACAGCTGTCGCAACTTTACTATGTGTGCACCTCCACCTGGTGTGGCCAGAGCATCTGGGAAGTAGGGGGACCATTTAAACTGTCGACATGTCTGCTTCGCCTGGAAACGACCAAGCCCAAAGGTGATGCTCAGCCACGAAATTGCCATCAACCTCAGAAGCCTTAACTGCGAGAAAGTCATGGGGCAGATCTGACCGCAGGGTCAGATTGACACGGTGGAAAAATAAACGCTGTGCCGCCGCAGGGGACGGAGGATGGCCAATCAAACGCTGCTGCTGGGCAGGCGGCGCAGGAGGCGTCAGAAGCGCCAGCCGCTTCAGCAACACCTCGAAGTGGAGCACCTCCAGGTCCGAGCTGCGCCATCTGCTGTGCCGTGGCGGCGCGGCGGGTGCGGTACATGTCGCTAGTGGCCGTCTTAGCCACACGTGCGCGCTTGACAGACTTGGCGGTCATGTGCTTCTGGAAAAAAGGTCAGCGTGCTCCTTGGCAGTCGCTGTATCAACTTCATCTGCTCGCTTCTTGAGCTCACGAAACTGGTCACGCTCTTGTGGTTCGAACTCATTCTCGCCGACTTCGCTGCCCATGTCGGAGAAAGCATCCAGCTGGCCGCCTCGCATCCGCTGCAGACGGAAACGGTGTTCCTGCCACTGGCCCAAACGGATGCCTATGTAGCGGGCGAGCAGGTCCACGGCGGGGTCCTTGAACTCGTGCAGGTGGACCTCCACATACACGTAACCCACCACACGCCCACCTATCCACGGAACATCAGGGGAAGCATCATCCTCCATGGCAGCCTGGCCACCGGCCCCCGCGGCGGGGTCGGGGGCGCCCGCGGCAGGCAAAAGGGGGGCGCAAACCTCACATGGAGCAGGAGCGCGGCCCGCGTCCGCGGCGGCGGTGGCAGCCAGGCCACGTTGGCGGCGCTGCTCCTTCACCTCCGCACGCTTCGCCTGCTTGAAGGAGGTGGTGGCGTCGAAGGCGGTCTTGTTGGCATCCGCCTCGCGCGTCGCCTGCCGAGCCACCTCGAGGCTCTGGTCCGCCTCGACGTGTTCCTTCAGGTAGGCAAGGCGCCCCTGTTTAGTGGCAGTATCGTTTTTTTGGCCAACTCCGTCTGCTCCAGAGCGGCCATGCGATTCAATTTCCCTTCAACGTTGTCGCGAATTTCGGGAACAGGGGACGCAACAGCATCACGTGCAACACCCGCGAAGGCATGATAATGAACGGACCAACGTTCCAACTTCTGCAAGAGGTGAAGTGGCATATGCACCGCAGCAGCACCAGGAGCACCACAACCAGGATGAACCCGATCACCATCAATGACAACAGCGGCGTCCGTGATGCAGGCACCACCGCACATGCCGTGGCGCCTGAGCTCCAAGTGCCTGCAAACAGGGCAAGCCTCGTAGGAGTTCTCGTTCTTGTGGGGCTTCTTCTTGACCCCAGGCTGCAAGACCCAGGAACCTAGTGTACTACCGCCACCGTTGCGCCATGGCGCCTGGCTGCGCCACGCCATGGCCTTGCCTGCCGCGGATTAGCGCTATCCTCGTTGTCGCCAGGGGAACTGGGCATCTTGAGCCAAACAGCTACGGGAGGAGGAGGAGGAGGAGGAGGAGGAGGAGGAGGAGGAGGGGGAGGGGGAGGGCGAGGAGGAGGAGAAGGAGGAAGAGGAGGAAGAGGAGGAGGAGGATTTTCTATCCCCCCTCTCTCGTCCGACCTGAAGGATGGCCTTCAGGACGGCGTGAGATGCTCCGAACTGGCCCAAGACCAGGCAGAGCACCAGCCAGGGAGGGAGGAGGACGGAAAAGGTTTCTGAAGTGTTGCGCCGTTGTTCGGCCTCCTCAGGGCGCTTCCTAGGCCCTGGCGCCGTCAAAAGCTACTCAAGATCAGACGTCAAAGCCTTTTGTCCGACCCGGTCACCTGCGTCCACGTATTGTTCATGTAGGCGTGCCACCTTCCCACGTCCCTGGGGCACCCTGCGTCAACCAGTGCGAAGGCGTGCGGCTGGTTGCTCGTGTAGTTCGGGCCCACCATCCACAAGACCTGCTTCTGAACGTAGTAGAGGTATGTGGATGTATCCTGCAGGGGAATGTTTTCGTGAGGGGGGACCCGCTCAGACAGGAAGACATCGATATTGAAGGGGCCCCAGGACACACAAATAAATACACACAAATCAAATGATGCCCCATATTTTCTTATATTTTCTGGGTTTTTGTCTTCCCCCCCAATTCCGATATTTTCCCATATTTTCTGGGGAATGGAGGATTAATTGTGTCTGAGTGTTTCTTTCCCTCCTGAGAGATGGAGCCAGCGATGTATCGCCGATGGATCGGCGGTGGGCCCCCTCATGGCGAATCCGAAGGTTTGTGGGCGTGGTGGGCTACCGGGCCCCGGTCGCCGATGCACGGGCAATTGGGGGTAGATGTGTCCCCCTGAGGCTATCCCCCCATAGCGTTGCCGCTGAATTTTGAGGGTGGAGACTGCTGATTCTCGTAATTGTACTCTCGAAGCAGGTGCGAGCACCTTCCTCAGACACAGGACTGCCATCTTGGACAAACTGGTCTTCTTCCGCTCCACAAGCTGTGCTTGCACTGAGTGGCTCCTCGGAACTTAGGTGAGAAAGGAAGCGCCCCGGCCCAGCCTCTTGCCGATGACGGCCGCCGTCGGCATGAAGTGCAGTGGGTGCGTACCCTGCGCTGGCTCTCGAGCAAGCCTGCACGGGCTGCAAGCAGGTTGCGAGCAGACAACATCCGGCAGGCTGCAGTGAACCAACAGCGGAGGAGAGCGAGGAGAGAGGCAACAACCCAAACAGAGCATGCGCGCTGTCACGCCAAAAGGCCGAGCACGCGCGCTCACTCGGAAGCTCCTCCAGGGTGTCGTGGCTAAGTCCTCATCGTGGCCCTCCTTCCTCATTTCCTCGCCTCCTCCACCATTCCCATTCCCGTCCCTGCCATCCCTCTCCCCTCTCTACTAATCATCCCTCCTACTCCCTTCGCTTCCTCCTCCTCCTCCTTTTCCTCCTTCTCCTCCTCCTCCTCCTCCTCCTCCTCTTTCTCCTCCTCTCCGAGCCCGTCACTGGGCCGTCTGGGAGCCCTCCTGGGAGCCTCCCGAACAACAATTGTCGGAGCCAACTGTGACCTTCTGGGGCGCTTTTAAACTGTCTTCGGGGCCTTTTGGTGGCCCCTGCGGCGGTCTTTGAGTGTGTTGGACCGTCCTGGGGCTCTCTTGCGCCGTCCTGGAGCCCTGTGGGTCGTCTCGAGGGCATCTTGGGACGTCTTGGGGGCCCTCTGGGGGCTACCCCCGACGTGTGCAACTCCGTTCTCGGCACTTCACTCCGTGAGCGTCTGAGCGCGAGAGCCCCCTGACTGTGGCGGCCGAGGGCTCCCTGGCGGCTCCCCCTTGGAGCGCCAGGGCGCTGTGCCTGCTCACGTCGGGATGCTCTTCGGGCTGTGAGAGGGAGGAGGGGTCGGGGGTGCCCAAGCCAACGTCTCCTCCGAGAGGTCCCACGGGCTCTGCGCGAACCCTTAGGGTGATCTGTCCCAACGTCTCCCCGGCGGCTTCCCCTGAGGGGGGCACGGGTGATGTGCCTGCTGCGTCGCGGTGGCCACGAGGCTCCGAACGGAGAGGCTTCGGGACTGCCACGCCTGGCGAACCGCTTGAGGCGTCCCAGTCCTCGCCATCGCTCGGACGTCCATTCCCCGTGCATTGTTCGATTTCGAGCGTGTTTTTTTCCTCGCTAAATGATCAAAGATGGTCTTCGATGGTCCTCGCCGGGGAAAAATGCACACGTCCGAGCGACGCCAAGAGTCTGGGAGCGAACGGGCAACTACAACGTCCCTTGGCGGCTCCTCCTTTCGGGGTCCCAGGGTGCTGCGCATGCTGCATCGGAGTGATCATGGGGCTTTCGGAAGTGACGAGTCGGGGGCGTCGAGGGCCCGGAGGAACCCACACTTGCAGCCATCGTGCGAATTGCCAGGCGGAGCGGCAAAGAAAGAACCACATGCATTTTCTGGCCACAGTGAGCCTCGGCAGCGAATCGCCTCCCCGCACAATCCCCTCCCCGCACAATCCGGAGCCCCTGCCGAACTCAAATGTGACTATTTCAGCGTATTGGGGATGTTCTTTCAATTATGTTTGAACCATTCTGCTGTATTTTTGGCTATATTATACTTTCCGTCCAAAATCCCCCTGTACGGGGACAGGCCGGACCTAATCCTGGACCCCTGCTTCACAAGTCGCGGGGACACCAAAATCTGGTCCGGCATGACACACCGTTCTCAGAAGAGGGGCCGAGGGCTCTGAGGGCCCTGTATGGGGGCAGACAAGAATCGGGCGTTGGCAGAACTGGGTTTAACAGGACCTGGTTTAGTGATGTGTACTGGTGGACGCACACCCGAAAAAAACACCAGCTACGGCAGACCTAGTTTCTTGACTCTGGCCAAGTGAGGAGCTCCAGGGCCCTACTACTAACCTGGTCCCCTTACCTGGGGTCCTGGCTATACCCGAAAGAAGGCGGCGATCTGAGGCACACGTGGCGGGGTCCGAAAATGGGGGGCACGCAGACATGGATTAGCGATCCATGGATTTGGCGCGCGGTCGCCGAATCTATGGATCGGGGGAGGTGCTCTCCCCAAAATGCGGCCGGTGCCGCCTCGCTCGGCGGCGGAAATCCGCGATTTCCCATGGAAGCGGGACCCGTTGCTAATCCACGCCCCCCTGATCCGTGTTTGCGATCGCCTGAGAAAACCCCGAGTCCCAAAATCAAATAACCTCTTCGAAGGCAGCTTGTTGCTTCCATCGGCTTCCGCCCAGCCGTCCACTGGCGAAGCCGCTCCCTTTGTACTTCCGCTGAGGAGGAGACATCAATCCTTTCGATCCTCGAAGGCACGTGCCATGGCGCTCCCCTGATCTTCATCCGGGTTCGTTTTCTGACGGATCCAAGGGGGGAAGCGAGAGGCCGAGAATAACGAGCAAACCACGTGCTCATTTCCACCAGGTTCCTCTGGTTTTTGCCAAAGAAAGCAGAGGGGTCGCATGGGTGGTCCCACATGGGGGGGGGATCCTCGTCCTCGTCCCTCCTTCTCATGCCCACCTTCCTCCTCCTCCTCCTCCTCCTCCTCCTTCTCCGCCTCCTCGTCTTCCTCCTCGCTCGTCCACTCGATCTTCATCCTCTCCCTCTTGCAGGTCCCCAAAAGCCTCCAGAGCTCTCCGGAGGCCCCCAGGGGCCTCCGCAGGCACCTGGATGCCGAAAAGACCACGAACATCCCATGGATCATTGATTTAAATCGGGCCTGTCCTCCTACAGGGGCATTCTGAACGAAAAAGAATAATTACCCTGGCAACGTACCCAACCCCTGCGCAATGCGGGGCAGGAGTAGCTTGGGAGATTTGACGAGAAGGCGGCGACGTAACATGGACGCATATACTTCTGCGAGCAGCATTCGGAAGGTTTGCAGGTCCCCAATCAAGGGGAAAACGTCAAGTAACTAAGTGAACCCCTGAGTCACTAAGGAAGACGCAAGGTCCAAAAGGAGACTGTGGGCAAGGGGCTTGAAACGTCGGCGGAGCAACAACATCATGACATGGCCGCCCAGGGACGGCGAGGTCCCGCTCAGATCCGCGCAGTGCCTCCGCTGGACCCACCAGCAGCCTTTGAAAGTGGCGAGCCCACCAGCAGCCCTCGAAAGTGGCGACAGTTTCGCAGATCGCAGCCCCCCAGGGACGGCGATGTCTACCTCAGGTCTGCGCGGTGCCTGCCTCCGCTGGACCCGCCAGCAGCCCTCGAAAGTGGCGACAGTTTCGCAGATCGCAGCCCCCCAGGGACGGCGAGGTCTACCTCAGGTCTGCGCGGTGCCTCACTCCGCTGGACCCACCATCAGCCCTCGAAAGTGGCGACAGTTTCGCAGATCGCAGCCCCCCAGGGACGGCGAGGTCTACCTCAGGTCTGCGCGGTGCCTCACTCCGCTCGACCCACCAGCAGCCTTCGAAAGTGGCGACAGTTTCGCAGATCGCAGCCACCCCCCCCCCAAGGACGGCGAGGTCTACCTCAGGTCTGCGCGGTGCCTCGCTCCGCTGGACCCGCCAGCAGCCCTCGAAAGTGGCGACAGTTTCGCAGATCGCAGCCCCCCAGGGACGGCGAGGTCTACCTCAGGTCTGCGCGGTGCCTCACTCCGCTGGACCCACCATCAGCCCTCGAAAGTGGCGACAGTTTCGCAGATCGCAGCCCCCCCCCCCCCAGGGACGGCGATGTCTACCTCAGGTCTGCGCGGTGCCTCACTCCGCTGGACCCACCAGCAGCCCTCGAAAGTGGCGACAATTTCGCAGATCACAGCCTCCCAGCGACGGCGAAGAGAGGGCATGAGGAGGCGGGAGGCGGGAGGAGAAGGAAGAAGACGTGACCGCGGTGCTGTATTCCAAACGAATGCCCAACCAAGGAGGGTTGGGAAATAGCCAACAAATACCCCAGAATGGTCAATAAATGGTCAAAAATCGTCCCCTGACAATTTTTCAACTATTTTTGAATATTCCTCCTGTGAAGGGACACGCCCGACTTAATGTTCGATTCTGGGTGGGGGGGGGGGGAACAGCGAGTGACTTTGCCGCTGGGGGGCGCAAGCCAACCGTGGCCCTTCTGGGGCCGGCTGTCGCACGGTGCGCGAGGCGCTCGCTTGGCACCCGCAGCGTGTCCGAGGGGCTCTGCATCGCCCTGATGTAGATGGGCTTGCCGCCGTTGTAGCTGGTGGGCTCGATGTTGCTCCTCTGGAAGAGGGAGGGGGGAGGAGATGGGATTCTATACATACATGTAGGGGGGAGGAGGGGGGAGGAGGAGGAGGGAGGAGGGGGGGAAGGAGGGAGGACGCCAACTATACATAAGGGGGTTCGCGAGGACCCGCTATCATCCACGGTGTGGCCAGAGGAGGTGGAGGAGAACGATCAAGACACTGGGGCGCTCTTTCCCCTTCGTGACCACTGGGGGCCATGCCCCCCGGAACCTCCGGAGGCCTCCCGGGACCTCCGGTGGCCTCCGGAGGCCAGAGGGGCGGGGAATGCTATGACAGGGGCCCAGGGAGCCACAGATCAACAGGCACACGCACCTTAATTCCCAGTGCTGCCTTCATATTTTTTGGGGGTTCGCGTCTTCCCCTCCCCCTCCCATGCTTTCCAATATGTTCTCGGACATCGACGTCAACCTGTCTGTGCCGACTGTTCCCTCCTCCTCCTCCTCCTCCTCCTCCTCCTCCTCCTCCTGAGTCCTTTGGGAGGCGGGTTGGCGTCCGGCCCCCCCGCTCCCTCCAACACGCAGCGGCAGGAGGCGCCGACGCGGGGGGGACCCACAGGCGCGCGGGACAGACAAGCTGACGGGCTGGAGGGCACGAGTGAAGGGGCCCCAGGACGCACAAATAGATACACACAAATAAAAAGATTCCCCATACTTTTCCATGTTTTCTGGGTTTTCGTCTTCCCCCCCACTTCCCATATTTTCCCATATTTTCTGGGGGATCAACGATTAATTGTGTCTGTGTGTTTTTTTCCCTCCTGAATGAGACGGGGGAGGGGGAGGCGCGCAGAGAGGGGTCGGGTGAGAGGGGAAGGCTTCTTTAGAAGGAGGCTGCTCCTCAGAAGGCGCGAGCCTGGCGTCTACAGGCAGGGCCCGCGGCTTCTGAGGAGCAGCTTCCTTTGGAGAGGTCTTCCTCCCCCTCCCCCCCGCCCCCCCTCTGTGCGTGGCCGAGGGGGGGTAGCAAAAGGAGGGGGGAGGCTGCATTCAGCTGGCTCTCTGGCCGCATCGGAGCGCCAGGTCGGCCGTGCGTCAAGGAGCGTTCTGGACAGCGGGGCCCACACCAGCTGCATGCAGCAGATGTTGCAGTTCTCCTTTTTCCAACCTCATTGTTTCGGGTCACCCGAGAGAAGAGGGATGAGGAACGCATCTCTGGTCCTGGTCAGTCCTCGCTTTTATCCGCAGTGGCCTGGGGCCTGAAAGGGGCGTCTGGTCAACGAAACTACAAAACAAACGCCCCTTGCGTTTCTTTTATCGCCGCGTTCCTTCACTTGTATGGCAACTCATGGGAGCCTCCCCGACGCGAGTCGACGCTTATGGACGCCAGTCGACGCTAGCCGACGCTACATCCACGCCAATCGACGCTAGCCGACGCCAAAACGGCGCGATCTCATCGACTCCAGGACGCTAGACGAAGCCAATCGAAGCCAACGACGGAATTCAGATGGTACGGTATACCAGGCTCCCATGCAATGCGACCGAATTCCCCTCTCAAAATTGACCAATCAAACTTTAGGTCGGGCATGTCCCCCTACAGGCGGATTTTGGACGAAACATGAAAAATACCCCCGAAATATTTCAAACACATGCAACAATTGTAAAAAATCCTCCCCAACTTATTTTTTGACTATTTTAGGGACACGCCCGATTCAAATTTCGGCCCCTCTCCCCGCCCACCGTCCAGGGAGGAGCAAACATATGAGTAGACATAAACTTTCGGAGGTCCACACGAGTTTCTGGGATCGAAGCTGGACCCCACGAATGGCGGCGCCGGCGCCAGCGCCGATCTTGGAAATCCACGCGGACCTTCGATAGTTCAAGGAACATGCCGTCTTTTTCTCCTTCGAACCCCCAGAGGTGTGCCGGACCCCTCCCGAAGAGCCGGGCAGTGGCAAGGGATGCTACCACCGAGGAGGTAGCCGCCTGCTCCGGGAGTCGGAAACTCTGGACCCCACAGAACCCCCCAGGGCGCCCGAGGACGCCCAGAAACGTCCAAAATCTTGCTGATCCTCCATTCTCCCTCCTCCTCCTCCTCCTCCTCCTCCTCCCTCCTCCTCCTCCTCCTCCTCCCTCCTCCTCCTCGTCGTCCTCCCTCCTCCCCTCCCCCTCCTCCTCCTCCTCCTCCTCCTCCTCCTCCTCCTCCTCCTCCTCCTGCCCCTCCTCCTCGGGCCTCGATTTCTAGGAGGTCCTGCTCCCTCTCTGGCACCGCCCGAAGGAGTCACCAGAGGTCTGCGCCCCCCCCCTTCCGGCCGGGTTGATGAGCCAGCGGGCGCGCGCCGGAGGGCGCGCGCGGCTCTCTCGCCCACTCCCCCTGCGGGCACCCTGCGCTCCCTCGGAGCCCTCCCCGAGGGGGGGACGCCCCTCGGGGGAACCTGGCCATCGCTCGGACGTCGATTCCCTGTGCTTTCTGCCGGCTTCGTGCGTGGCTCTTTCGCCAAGTGATCAAGGATGCTCCTCGACGGTCCTCGCCGAAGGAAAGATGCACGCGTCCGAGCGATGCCAGGGGAACAGCAAGGGCTCCCAACTTCGCGCTCCGCGCTCCGCGAAGCGCGAGAGCGCGAATAACTTCGCGCCCTCGCGCCGCCCCCCCCAAAGGGAGAACAGGAGGACGAGGAGGAGGGGGAGAAGGAACGAGGACCGCGAAGCGCGAAGCGCGAACAACTTCGCGCCCTCGAGGGAGCCCTTGGGATGCCCGGGGAACAGGCACGTGCCGCTGCCGCTGCTCCCCGGACCTCTCCGGGAGCGCGTGCCGCCCCGGACGTCGGGGCGACGCCCGCCGTGGCGGCGAGGCCCTCCCTGGGGCCGGGCGGGCGAAGAACGCTGCAAGCGTGGCGGTTTGGGCTCCTCCTCCTCCTCCTCCTCCTCCTCCTCCTCCTCCTCCTCCTCCTCCTCCTCCTCCTCCTCCTCCTCCTCCTCCTCCTCCTCCTCCTCTCCTCCTCCTCCTCCTCCTCCCTCCTCCTCCTCCAAGACTTGACCTTCAAGACTTGACCAGGGATGATCATACGGCTAGGCCTTCGCACAATACCTCCTCCTCCTCCTCCTCCTCCTCCTCCTCCTCCTCCTCCTCCTGACCCTCTACTCCCTCGGAGCCCTTCCCGATCGAGGACGCTCCTCATGAACGACCCCGTCGCGGCGTACGGGAACGGAGCCTCGCCGGCAACCCGCAGCTGGGCTGGGCAGTCCTGGCACGACTCGTCGTCGGTCTGCGGGCTGTAGGGGGTGTGGCAGCACCCGCCCGTTTGCCGGAGCCAGCCCTGCAGGTTCTTGGACAGGGTCTTTCTGTGCGCCTGGAGGTCACAGTAGTAGTCGGACCACTTGCTGCACGATCCGAAGTTCGTGTTCTTGCAGGTGGTCTTCGGCGATTCTGGCCGGCGCACCGAGGCCAACAGTCGCCTCTTGGCGGCGGTCGGCTTGGGGTGCCCCGTGAAGTGGGACACGACAACGTTGGCGCTGCACTTCTTCTGGCACGCGTGGTGGCGCTGCACTCCAGGCTGAACACCCATAATGTCCACGCAATTGAATTCCCGGTCCAGTTCCTTGATCTTGCCAGCGTACGCGGCGTTGATGATGTTCTGGTCCAGCACCTCCTCACGACTGCGGTTCACGACGAGCTCGAGCATCTGGCGGAAGACCGCTAGATCGGGGCGGAACAGCATCACGCCACTATTGTACTCACTCTTGCATCCATCGGGAGCCATGGCGATTTGGCCTGGATCTAACGCTGTCGAATTCAGCAGTTCGTTTACCCGGCCGTTGAACACGTAGGTGTCAGCATCAAAGAAGAGCACCTTGCCAACGCCAAGCCTGAAGACGTTGATTTTTTCGAAGCTGTCATGCCAACGTCTCATGAACTCCTGATTGCAATCGTCTGCACAATACTCGTCTTCCCAATTCTGGACGAATACTAGCTGCCAGCCGGCCTTCTCTAGCAATTCCTGGTGCTGCTTTTGCATGCCCTCAATCGCAATCGCCAGCATGGGGTAGCCCGGCGCGTGCTTCTTCAACGAGTGTGCGAGCATCACCGCCGCGTCGACGTACTCCGTCTCCTTCTGCCCCGCGAACGTGACAAGCGCAGTGAGGTCTTCCGCCCTCTTGTCAGAATCCCGAACGCGCGTCACAGGCAGCACCTTGTTGTTCGCCGCGATCCACGCGCTGGGGTCGACTCTGTGAATCTTCCTCTTCACGTCGTCGGTGCGACTGGCAGGGGCCTCGGGCTCGTCGTAATCACTGAAGCCCGAGCCCGCAGCAATCTAGCGATGGGCAATCCAGAGGGCTCAGGGGCCTCCCATCCAGATGTGGGAGGACCAAAGGAGCGGCGCATGCACACCCCTGCAACAGTAATGCGGGATGACGATTAATACAAAAAATGGGAGAGAACGATTAACAAAAATAGCTTTCTGCTATTTCTGCAGAAGCTTCTGACTGGAGGAGAACGATTAAGAAATAGTTTTCCAGCCCGCGGCCGGTTCTTTCTACTCGTCATCCCGGGCGCCGTCGCGTGAACGCGATCCCCGGTCATTTCTTAATCGTCATCCTCCATTAGCGATGGGCAATCCAGAGAGCTCAGGGGCCTTCCGTCCAGATGTGGGAGGACCAACGGAGCGGCGCATGCACACCCCTGCAGCAGCAATCCACCAGCCCCTTGGGCGGCGTCTCGCTACCGACTGATGAGCACCCGTCCCCCCCCCTCTCCCCTCGGCTGCTCTACCCAAGAGCCACGAGCTCGCCCACCCCACCATCCCTGCCGAAAGAGCACTGGCTATCGCTCGGACGTCCATTCCCTGTGTTCTTTTCGGTTTCGTGCGTGGCTTTTTTCGCCACCAAATATCAAGGATGCTCCTCGACGGCCTCGCCGAAGGAAAAATGCACACGTCCGAGCGATGCCAGGAGCATAGAACACGCCCGTGGCGGCCAGATCGAAAATATGAACGGGCAGCCTGCGCTCACACAAGGATGGCGGGGGGACAGGTCTAGCGGGTTCCGGAAGGACTGAATGAGAATCTACAGTCGGGCCGCCGAAAGAAGGAACGCCAAATAAGGAACGAAACTCCTTCTTGGCCCCAGAACCGCCTTCGTTCGCGAGGAGGGCGGGAGGAACAGCCATGGAAGGACCTAAGGAACAGCGAGCCCCTTCCAAACCAAACTGCTCCTCAATCCAACGTCTTGACTGTAACATCTCTTGGAAACCAAGTGTTTCCTTCCGCTGGCCTTCCGCCGACAGAGCCCCCCCCCGCGTTTTGCTCTTCCCCCGCCCTCCGCCGAGGAGAGAAGACGTCCGCTCCCTCGACTCCTCGCGGGCGAGGTCTCCGCCCCGGAACGCCTCAGTTCGTCCCCTGTGCGCTCGCGCGGGACTCGTACCTGCCGCAAGCTCGGCCCTGGGAGGCGGGCCCGCGGGGGGGCGCTGGCGTGGCAGTGCGCGCGGCGTGCTGGGGTAAGAGGGGCCCCGAGGGCCGAGGCCTCCCCCCGTCCCGAGGCCGCCCCCTTGAAAGGACACCAGTGCAGCAGAAGACCCCAAAGCAGCTTGGCACAGTTGCAGTGGGAGGGCCACGACGGAGGGTCACGATAGGGGGCCACGACCGGGGGAATCAGGAGAAGGATGGGAGGTAGGGATAGAGATGTATGAAGGGGCCCTGGGACACACAAATAAATACATAAAAAATATAATCCCAGTGCGACCCTACCTAGGAGTTGGAGCCCCTAGGAAAGCAGCATTAGTGGTAACAGTGAAGCTAAGCTAAAGCTAAGAAAAACCTAAGCTAGAGCTAAGCTAAATCTAAGCTAAAGCTAAGCTAAAGCTAGGCTAAGGCTGAGCTAAAGCTAAGCTAAAGCTAAGCTAAAGCTAAGCTACAGCTAAGCTAAAGCTAAACTAAAGCTAAACTAACACTAAGCTAACGCTAAGCTAGAGCTAAGCTAAAACTAAGCTAGAGCTAAACTAAAGCTAAGCTAAAGCTAAGCTAAATCTAAGCTGAAACCAAGCTAAAGCTAAGCTGAAGCTAAGCTAGAGCTAAGCTAAAGCTAAGCTGAAGCTAAGCTGACGCTAAGCTAGAGCTAAGCGAAAGCTAAGCTGAAGCTAAGCTGAAGCTAAGCTAAAGCTAAGCTAAAGCTAAGCTAAAACTAAGCTAGAGCTAAGCTAAAGAAGCTAGAGCTAAGCTGAAGCTAAGCTAAAGCTAAGCTGAAGCTAAGCTAAAGCTAAGCTAAAGCTAAGCTAGAGCTAAGCTAAAGCTAAGCTGAAGCTAGAGCTAAGCTAGAGCTAAGCTAGAGCTAAGCTGAAGCTAAGCTGAAGCTAAACTAAGCTGAAGCTAAGCTAAGCCAAGCTAAGCTAAGACGAGATAAGCTAAGCCAAGCTAAAGGGGCGCGACTGGGGGAACCGCGGGGCGGGGACTGGGGGAACCGCCCGGGGCGATTTCCACTGCCCGGCCCCTTTAAGCTAAGAGAGTAAGAACCCTTCTAGGCAGAGCCTAGGTAGGGAAAAAGGATTCCCCATATTTTCTTATATTTTTCTGGGTTTTTGTCTTCGCCCCCACTTCCCATATTTTCCCATGTATTCCTGGGAATCGACAATTAATTGTGTCTGCGTGTTTTCCCCCTCCTGAATGTACGGCTGTTGTAGCGATAGGGAGGTATATATATATATATATATATATAGGGATCGAGGTGCACGATGGAGAGAAAGGGACAAGGATGGAGGGATCGGGGCAGGGATCGAGACGGCAATGGGATGCCACGATGAGCAACGGGAGGCCACATCGCCAGACCGATATCTGATCCGGCAAGCGTGCCCAGGCCCGTTCAGACGAACGGTTCAGGGAAACAAGCGAATGAACGGCCGTTGCGATTCTGCTCGTGACGCCGTTGTTCGTGGCGCTGCGGGCCTGGGTCCTCCGAAGGCCTCTGGAGGCCACAGGCGAAGCAAACACGTCGCAAAGCCGTAACCCTCCTCCTCCTCCTCCTCCTCCTCCTCCTCCTCAACGCTCGACGCTCGACGCTGAAGGCATGCTCAATCGAACGACCTCCTCCTCCTCCTCATCCTCCTCCTGCTGATTCTCATCCTCCAAGACTTCTCTTCATGGTTATCCTCCAGATTCCTCTCAACATCGGTACACAGATTACTCGCGGGTCCCATATTGGCCGGTTCTCCCAGCTGCGTTCAGCTGCGACGACGAAAACCTCCAGCACCCCCACCGCGGGAAGAGGGGGAACGACAGGGGGAGATAGGGCCGGAATCGGCGAGACATCGCTGATAGATCGGCGATATGCCCCCGATGGCGAAACCGCACGTTCCTGGGCGGGGTAGCCTATCAGGCCGCTATCGGCGATGAATGGGCGATTGAAGGTCGATGCCATCCCCCCCCGAGAGCCCACTGCACCCGCCCCCCCCGTGTCTGGAAGAAGAAAAACGCCATAAGCATCAACCTTTGGCGCTCCGCGCGGGTTTCTTGGATCTGCGCTGGGGCCCCCTCTCTGGCGCGCTCCGCGCGCCAGGGGCGGCGCCGGAGGCGCCGGCGGGGGGGCCCCAGCGCGGATCCAAGAGACCCGCGCGGAGCGCCAAAAGTTTAGGTTTATGGCGTTTTTCCTTCTTCGACGTCCGCAGCCCCTGACCACAACCTTCGAGACGATTAGGCAAGCGCGCTCCGCTACTCGCAAAAATCACTACTCGCAAATGGCCTGGATCAGCCGCAAAGGCTTCGCGACCAATTGCATCGAGGCGAGCGTGTGATCTTTGGACGTTTGCGATTAGGCACTTTGCGAGCAGTGGAACGCGCTCGGTGAACGATCCTCGATACCCCACGCATGCCCGGGAGATTCGCCCCCCGATCCTTGCCGTGGTGCCTGTGCCGCCCCTTGCCGGCGGCGCGCACGCGGGGCGGCGCCGAGGAGGGGAGGCGGCCTTCGACGCAGGCAGGGGGCGCCATACCTTTGGTATTTTGGTCGGTTAGTTTAGTAGGCCTTCATGTTCGTCAATAGGGTGTAGACAATAGGTTAGGTTAGTAGGCTAGGTTAGTAGGTTAGGTTAGATAGGTTAGGTTAGGCCTATGTTAGTAGGTTAGGTTAGCAGGTGTCAATTCGGTTCGTCTTAGGTTGGGTTAGTAGGTTAGGTTCGTAGGCCTTCCCAGTTACGCTTCGTGTTCTGGCAGGTTTGGTTCATAGGGTGTATGTTTCAATGCTATGTTTTTGGAGGATGTGTACTTCAGGGGGCCGCGCAGGGAGCCGCCTAGGAGGAGGAGGAGGAGGAGGAGGAGGAGGAGGAGGAGGAGGGAGGAGGACGGGGAGGGGAGGAGGAGGAGGAGGAGGAGAGGAGGAGAGGTGGAGGAGGAGGAGGAGGAGGCGAAGGAGGAGGAGGAGGAGGAGGAGAAGGCGGAGGACTTCGCTCATGGGGTGCGCGAGTCAGCTCGAGCAACCTGTTTGCCCGGCGCCTCCCGGCGCCGGGAGGCGCGCCCACCGTGTCGAGGAGGGCGCCCGGCGGCCGGGTCGAAACCAGCTGCGTGCAGCAGACCAGGGCTGAACCTGAACGGTGCATTTCGTTTTCGTTTCGTTTTCGTTTTCCCTAGTTTCGTCTCCAATCCGCCTTTCACGCAGAATGGAATCGAAACGAAAACGGCCTACGAAATCGCCCAAACACCGTTTAGGTCCACCCCTGCAGCAGACTGCGCCCCCCCCTTCCCCTCCCCGCATCCGCCCCTCTCTTCCGACCTGATGCGAGGGGCCCTCGTGGCTTCCAAGATGCCCCCCAGGGCGCCTCTTGGCGCTTCTAGTAAGGGGCACGCCTTCGTACCCCCCCCCGCCTTCTTTTAGCAGGCTAGAATTAGGTCGGGCCTGTCCTCCGACAGGCAGATTCTGGACGATAGGCAAAACAGATTCGAAAAACATGAAATTTCAATAGAAAATCGTCACTACAATTATTCGACTATTTCTGGACGTTCCTCTTGTAGAGGGACATGCCCGACTTAGGGCTAGAAAGCTCACACCCGTGGGGTGGGAAGTCGGTGTGCAGACGCCCAGGCCGCCCTGGACAGGCGCC